TTAAGTGCTTGATACATATGAATAGCGCTGTATGATTTTGGATAATGATTAGTGTTGGACCAAAACATAAAAGTGAAATAATTTTCACACATCAAAATTCAAAAAATCACAAAAATATTATTCACAATACACTAAGTCTGATGCTACAGTAAATGAATAATAAAACCTTCAATTCTTTTAGTTTTATATAATTATATTTTTACTTGTGTTACCCTGCGAAATAGATATAATATATAAAATTATTTTAAAAAATAATTTCAGTTTGATGATACATATTATATTATGAGTTTATTAAAATATATAAAATTAAAAATAAAATCAAAATTATTTTTTAAATTTTGTGTTTAACTAATTATTCATTATGTTTTTCATTATTATTATTATTATTATGCTAAAAAGAATACGATTTATTCTTTTATATTCAAATTCTTAACCAAAAACTTGTAAGAAAATTCAAAAATCCATGGATTTTTGGTAAAACTTTTCTTATCATTTTTTTTTCAAAAAAATCTAAGACAAATTATCTAAAAAGTACTTTTAATTTTTAGATTATATATATATATATATATATATCATGCTTTTATCATTTAAAAAATAAAATAATTCATTATATAAATTATATCAAAAAAATTTAAGAGCAAATAATCATATTCTAAAAATTCATTATATATATATTTAACCATGCTATACCATTTAAAAATTAAAAGAATTTATCATATAAATTATATCAATTTTTTAAGAACAAATAAAATATTTTAAATATTCATTAAAAAATCCATACATAGATCTCTCTCTCCTCTCTCTTCTCTCTTTATTTATCTCTCCTTTTAGTAGTTAGAGACTAAATTATAATATAAATAAAGCTATGAATTGAAATAAAAATTATTTAAAAAAATAAGAGAGGAAAGAATAACATGAGTTCTTTACATATAAAACGTTTAAAAGAAACCTCAAAATTACTATAAAAAAAAAATCATTAAAAGGTGTGTGAATAATGTTCGGAATGAAATAAATACCTAAAAATACATCTAAAATAATGAAAATATCACTTTTTAAAAATTATAAAGATATCGTCAAATGAATAATATTAGATGAATGCATCAATGATAAAACCCTTACATATTCTAGAATTCTTTATAATGACGTATCTCCCCGTCTGTTTTTTTAAAACAATAATTGAGGTCCGAATTAAAAATCGGACAATTAGTAACGGTTTTGACCGTCGCTAATCCGAAATAGAAAAAAATCATCGCTAAATTGCAAAGGACTTAGTGAGGGTTTTTTTGGACCGTTGCAAATATTACCTTGGTTTACTACCATATTTAGTGATGGATTTTTTTTTTTTTTTTTTTGCGACGGTTTAGTCCGTTACAAAATTAGCGACGATCCAAAAACCGTCACAAAAATTTAGCGATTGACATTTTAGCGATGGTCCGTGTATCGTCGTAAAACCGTCACTAAATTACATTAGCGACGGTCTAGACCATCACTAATTGTATTTTTATTTTTATTTTATTTTATTTATTATTTATTTATTATTTATTTTTTGTAGTGAACTATATGTACTGTTATACATGAATTTTTTTTTTTCCTGAAATTTCGCAATCTTCCTTGCAATTTTTCAATCTCTCCACCTTGCGAAATTAAGATTTGTAAATTGTTTTGGTTCTAATTTATAGTACCTTCATTTTTATTTTTTTATTTACAAGGAAAAGATTCAAAACTGAAAACTGAAAAAAAGCCTTTTGGATAAGGTCAATCTTAAAAAACGGTGGTCTAGGTACTAGAAAAAGAAAAATAAGGAAAATAACGAGGCTATTATCAGGAAGCTAGGATTTTCTTATAGGGAATGGGATATATACAAACATGCCATGGATCCAAGGACTCATTGGCTTGCATATAATGGATTTATATGCAATCAAGAAACGTAATAATTTAATTTTATCGGTATGCTTTTTACGTGATAGGCTTGCAAACTTAGAAGGAGTGATTTTCACTAGCCTTCCTAACTGAGGATGCACTTGTATATAATTGATAAACAGCTTCTTCTTTTGTTCCTTTTGTAAGTAATAAAAAGAGCATTGATCGATAGGCAGCCTCATTTGGATCCTTTGTCTACTAAGATTCAATGTTTGCTTCGTAATAGTTGGGATGTTTGTATTTGCAACACGTTTAAAAAGAACCATTGGACTCAAAGTTTTATACATATCTAAATCCAGTATAATTTAGATTTTTTTATTAAGATATTAAATTTTTTTATATCTTATTTAAAAATTTCATTCTTATATTGTTATTATTTCAGATCTTAATATATTAGGTAAACACATATGGTAAGTTAAAATCTGAATTATGTGAAATCTCAATACAAGCAAAACTCATTGAACTTGTTGGATAGCCAACTTCTGTTCAGCTTAAGCCTGGGCTTTCATATCTTCTGCGACTACAGTGAGGAGTTTTGCTTCTTCTGCCATAACAAGATATGGTTGAGGTGGATAGTTGTAACACCACGTATGTGTATTGTCTTGTTCTCTTTTGTTGAGATTTAGTCCCTTTTCCCACCAAAAAAGTGATCGAGACATAGCCACGATTTCAAAGGTTCACATGAAAAGTAACTATCAAATAGTTTTCTGTTCATTGATAATGATATTTTGTAAAAGATTATGAGTTTAAATTCTAATAATTTGATCTGAGCTTTGAGTTTGCATTGAGTGTATGAATTAAAAAAAAAATGGAAAGAAACTTGACTAGGATGGTGTGAGTGCTTAATTGCACCTCGCTTATTTATGTCGGTAGAATTTTTTAATTTTTATCTTTTTATCAAAGTTTTGTGAGAAAGAAAAAGATTAAGCCAATATGCAATAGCAAAGCAATTTACGTAGGGACACAAGTAAATTAACCTATTCAAGTTATCTTAATTTCGCAGGGCCATGTGTGTGGAATCAGCCAATTATCCAAGGTGGTCTTAAGTAATTAACTTCTACCTGCATTGCATTCCTTAACACGAATTAGGCCTGTTATAAAGACTACGAGGGGAGTATAATTAGACCAGTTACAAACTTTTTTCAGGTAAATGTATTTAATTAAGAATTATTCTATAGAAAAGGCCTAAATGTCTGCAGCATCAAAATAGAAGATACCATATAACGTAAGCAACCAAATATTGAAAATGATACATAAATAAATTCTTTAAATCGTTCTTCAAAATTTAATTCATTAGTATGTTTGTTCTTTTTTCTTTTTTCTTTTTTTTTATTTTTTTGGCTGACAAATCAATCCAGATAATATATGATATAAGTAGCAAGCTGGTTCAATGCCTAAGAATTGGCTTAATTTGAGAAATAGAAACGAAAGAATAACTTTCGATCACGCTAATTTAGAGGGATTATTTTCAAATTTTGAGCATTTTAGAATTGTTTCGGTAAAAAGACAAGAGTACTTATGTTCTCTTTTTTTCATCAATTATCGATTTATACCAGATATAAATTCTAACATGTACCTTTAATCTTTAGCCTAATTTGTTCTTGGTAGAGCATTCTCCAAATATATATATATATATATATATATATATATTGTTCTTGTTAGAAATAGTAAAGAGAAATGTGTGGTATCAGTTATCCCTTATCACCCACTTCTTTAACTTGGAGAACAATAATAGGGATCTGAACGTAAGACTTCCGGTTGATTATAAAATGCCATTGATACCACCATCGTTTGCTTTATAAGATAAGTTTGCAATTAACCTGGAAAAGTTTAGTCTAGTTGATAGGTGAATATACTTTCAATGTTATCAAATCCAAATAGAAGCTGGAAGAAAATAATTGCCTATGAATATATTAATTTTGATATATATAATCTATTTAACATCTAATTGAAAAAAAAATTAATCTTCATGAACGAAAATTAATAAAAAATTTCCTCTGCCAATTAAGACTTGTAATTTGGCTGCAATATCTTCACTAATCTTGTCATCTGCATAGTTATTTAGCCTCCCTGGGACCCTGAGTAAGAATTTTGCAGTCGTCAATAATTGATATACAGTGACGTTTGGAATGTTCAAAGAATCAAAATGGAAAGGAACTAATTAAGTAAGAGGTATTGGTGAACTGTGGAGTGTGAACAAAAAGCACCTCACTGGCTTAAGTCGGCACGATTTTATGTTTTTTCCCCCAGATTTTGAGAGCAGGAAATATTCAAGTCCAACTAGCAAAGCAATTCCCACGGCAACACAAGTAGGGGATCTCAGTTTCAAAAGTGGGATACATCTGGCATCAGCCGATCTAATCAACATTTGTCATGGCTGAAGTCAGTAATTAACTTTGAATTGCATTCATTAACGTATACCTCACAATTAATTGGCCCGGTAATCCTCACTGTCAAACTAAGAATCTCCTCCTCTTCTTCTTCTTTCTTTGTTTTTTTTTTTTTAAGAAAAAACAAAAAATCCTGAAGAATCTCCTTTTTCCCAACATTGAATAGAATCTCCTTTTAAGTTCGCTAGGCCTACTGATCAGGGAGAACCTGCGTTGCTCCTAACTTTTTTTGTCATATTAACGTTTGGCTTACGCTATAATCCTTTATTCATTAGAATAAAATAAAGGAGTTACGACAAATTTGCCAGAAACTATTATGTCTATTCCAATTGAAGCCCCCACTTATCAATTGTCTCAATTGTATCCTCTGCACATTGAGATTTAGCTTAATCAACCTCCACGGTTATCTAAAGTTGATGGATCCATTAGATTTGCAAGTGAATTGCATACACCATTAATTTTAGCCTATTTTTAGTGCAAGATCTCTTAAAGTATTAATTTTGGTATTGAAAATCACATTCGCACGTATATGATCTTTCTTAACATATAAAAAAAATCCAAATTTTGTTTTTATAATCAACCCCCCATGCACTTCACCTTCGCGAGACTTTTAGTGGCAAAAGATCTTATTAATGAATTTTAACATCAAAATGTTTCACAAAATTAACATACCTTTAATTACACATAACAATGGATTTAATTGAATCAACTTTCAATAGATTAGAGACTCAATTGGGACAAATTGATTGGTGGGATCTCGATGGGGCATGCATGACGATAGATTACACTCTAATCGTTTCCCCTAAAAAAAAAATCTCATTTCATACACTAGTAGAACTATATAAATCTCTTGCAAGGACTATTAATTTTCTAAGTTAAAATATCTATTTGGGGCCCGCAATTTTTATTTTGTTACCTTAAGCCCTCGCATACAATCCATTTTGTAGAACAGCACCCTGCATCTTTATTTCGGTATATCCCCTTTATTTCTTTCTGGAATGTTGGTGGTGTTAGACACCCTACAATTCATGACGCATTTATGTTGTAATAATTTTTTAATGATGTTTGAATACTCGTCAAAGTCCAGTACTCCTGTCATCTCATCCAGCCGTCTCTAGCAGGATCCCATATGAATAAGCACTACAATATCATTTTGCACTAAATTAATAACACGTACAAACCATAAAAATTAATGAGATTAAAAAATATGATTGCCTTACCTGTCACATATCACTTAAGTGATTTTAAAAAAAAATCTTTTACTGGTAGGAAGCTTTACACGTTAATTAATTCATTCTATTAAATTCAGTGATATCATCAATTGTTCTTTACTATACGTTCAGGAGTGGATCTCAGTTAAGTAAAATGACAAGCATTAGTTACTGTAGAAAACCTCATGAGGCGTGAAGGTCTATAAATAGGGCCCCGGGGTGCCATTTAAAACATCAAACACAGTGAGCAAGAAGATGGAAAAGATGGAGAACAAAGGTTGGCATGGAAGAAGGCAGAAGGGTGGATTGGTTACAATGCCCTTCATATTTGGTAAGGCTAATTTGTATTCTCCTATGTGTACAGGATAGCAAAATTATTGTGTTGATTTTAATTTGCTCTGGTGCAGCAAATGAGGCTTGTGAGAAGTTGGCTGTGGTGGGGTTCAATACCAACATGATCAGCTACTTGACAACGGAGCTCCATATGCCATTAACCAAAGCAGCTAACACTCTCACAAACTTTGGAGGAACTTCGAGCTTGACACCGTTGCTCGGTGCCTTCATGGCTGACGCATATGCTGGCCGGTTCTGGACTATCACAGTTGCTTCCATAATATACCAAATAGTAAACACCGTCTCTATTAATTTCATGCATATATATCACGAGTTGCTTATGTTTTGGTTATTTAATTAACCATGTGAAAGAAAGTCATGACAACCTGATTATAAATTCTGAACACCTAAACTACGTAAATGCCCGTTGTTGATCTTCTAAAAAATGTTAATTATGGTTGACTATCGTATCCTCTAGCAATTAATCTAGATGCACAATATGCTAGCTTAGTTCATATTTCAAAAGTTTGCTGCATCTGTAAAATTCGAGATTCTGGTCCAGGTTTATGTCAAATAAAGATCAAAAGGTGTAGACTTTTTGAACTTCATTTCTTACTAAATCGACTAGTGTCTTCTTCTTTTATTATTATTATTTTCAGGGCATGACAAGCTTAACACTGTCAGCAATTCTTCCAAATCTAAGGCCACCACCATGTAAATTAGGAGAGCAAGTGTGCCGAGAAGCTGATACAGGACAACTAGTAATCCTATATGCATCTCTCCTACTAGGAGCCTTAGGATCAGGAGGCATCCGACCATGTGTAGTTGCATTCGGGGCAGAGCAATTCGATGAATCGGACCCTAAGCAGACATCAAAGACGTGGAAATACTTCAATTGGTATTATTTTGTCATGGGAGTATCTATACTTTTGGCCGTCACAGTGCTTGTCTATATTCAGGACAACATTGGATGGGGTTGGGGACTTGGAATTCCAACCATAGCAATGTTTCTCTCCATCATTCCTTTTATTGGAGGATACCCACTTTACCGGCACCTGGATCCTGCTGGGAGTCCATTTACCAGATTGTTACAGGTGTCTGTGGCTGCATTTAGGAAGAGGAAGCTGGCCATGGTTTCGGATCCTGAGTTATTATACCAGAATGATGAGCTTGATGCACCCATTTCTATTGGTGGAAAGCTTCTTCACACTACACATATGAAGTAAGTGTCCCCCACCCGAACACACACACACACACACAACGCACCAAAAAAGAAAAAAGAAAAGAAAAAACTCTAGCTAGAACAAAGTTGAATGAGAGGGAATAGAACAAATTTGAGCACACAACAATATCTTCATCTCTTTGAGATTATGGTCGTGATTGACTGCAGAAAGCATATAAATGACTTGGTCATCTTTCTTTGTATGCAATCTTATGGTAGGACCACAACTTTAAATCTTCTTATGTTTGACCACATGGCTTCTATAGTAATCACTCTCCACTCTAGCTATACAACAAATGCTGGTACGTTCTCCAGTGTCTTATCAGTGTCATCCCAGCATCACCTATGGCCAAACAAGTTGATGAGAAGTTTTTGATCAAATCAGTTTATTGATCAACGTAGGCTTTATGTGTGATTCCGGCTTCTTCTGCTCAGAAATAAATGAAGAAATAAAATTGTTTCTATATATTTGAATTTTCACATTTAACTTGCTTCCAAGTGACGACTCTCCTTTGATGTTAACTAACAATATGATATAGCACATGTTCCCTTATTCAACTGCAAAAATTTTCATCAATATTGTAGATTTGCTATAAATAATTAAAAATCTAAGATAATGCTATGTTTGATTGAAAAGTAGAGAGAAGTCATTTTTTCTCTCTATGGTTCAAACTTGCTAATGATATGTACCAAATCGCAGATTTCTCGATAAGGCTGCAATTGTAACTGAAGAAGATAATTTCAAACAAGCCCGAACACCCAATCTTTGGAGACTAAATACAGTTCACAGAGTTGAAGAGCTGAAATCTATCATCAGAATGGGACCAATATGGGCAGCAGGAATTCTTCTGATCACAGCCTATGCCCAGCAAAACACATTTTCCCTCCAACAGGCCAAGTCCATGGACAGATATCTCACAAAATCCTTTCAAATTCCAGCAGGTTCCATGTCTGTCTTCACCATGACCTCCATGCTCACCACAATAGCCTTTTATGATCGCATTTTCGTTCCTATTGCACGTAAATTCACAGGGCTTGAACGCGGCATAAGCTTTCTGCATCGGATGGGAATTGGTTTTGTAATATCAATATTTGCCACTCTAGTTGCTGGCTTTGTTGAAATCAAGCGAAAAGATGTTGCTTTAGCACACGGTCTAATCAATTCCCATCAGCCTATTCCTATCCCAGTCTTTTGGCTTGTGCCACAATATTGTCTTCACGGAATAGCTGAAGCTTTTATGTCTATTGGGCATTTAGAATTCTTCTATGATCAAGCACCAGAAAGCATGAGAAGCACTGCTATGGCTCTATTTTGGACTGCAATTTCAGTTGGGAATTATGTAAGCACGCTTTTGGTTACCTTAGTGCACAAATTTAGTGCTGGCCCTGACGGATCAAATTGGCTTCCTGATGATAATCTGAACAAAGGGAAGTTGGAGTACTTTTACTGGTTGATCACATTGTTGCAGGCTGCAAATCTTATTTACTACCTATTTTGTGCCAAGATATATACTTTTAAGTCTATTCAAGTCCATAGCAAAGAAACCAGTGACTCCGAAGAAAGTGCAGTAGAGCTTGCAAACAAGGTTTAGTGGCATTTCCATGTTATTTATATTAAGTAGGTGACAATTTAATTTACTTCAAATAATAAGCATGTCAGCTAGCACAGAATTAATAACCATTTTCTATGTAATCTTTTTTGCAGTGAAAGAAAATGTTCTTCTACTCTTTTAATTTTCTTAAAGTGCCCCAGTAATTTTTTCTTTTTATTCATCACCTTTCTTTACTTTTGAATTTTTCTTAATATGATCTTTTCGACTATTTTTCAGACTAATTTTTTAATTTAACTAATAACTAATATAAAAAATTTAAACGTAAGTAGCATGACAGTTCAGATTAATTTTTCACATGGAAAAAAAAAGGAGAGAGAAAAAATTAATTTGTGAGTGAGTGCTCCTTTCTCCTCTAGTAGGCATTCTTTAATTTTTCTTTCTATTCGAGCTTACAGTCTCATCATTTTCATGCATACCATGCTCCCTTCTCTCGTATTTATGAGAAGAAATTTGTCTTCCTTTTTCTGATTTGGACAAGGGACTAACATAAAAAAGAATTAACATCATGATTCATTGCAGTATGGACACATAAGAAAGCATAAAGGCATAACACTTAAATCTAAGAAGCTATTCTAGATTTCTAGGTTCATTCACTAACCATATAAAACAAAACCAAGTTGTCAACCAGAAAACTTGAGAAATCAAGTTTGAGAGCTTCCAAATCTAGTGGCCTAACACGTCAGTTCTCGATCTCCATGTTTTCAAACGTAACAATCCCAACTGCAACTGCTAATTACCTGCTTGTAAATTGATGCGAAGTGGCTAGCAAGCAGAATAGCGAAGTTTTCTGTCGAAAGTTGTTCTGAGCATTCCTTTGCTTTCACATATACCTGCATTACAGTTAACTTTTAGAATAAGCACAATAAAACTTCAATTATTGTTCGATTAACAAGAACTACCAATGATATCATACGAAAAGTTTTTTTTGACACACTTCCTGATTTATGAGCATGATTTGTACGTAAACTAACTATCTCCATGAAAATCTAAAAGGAGTTTTTTACACTAGATTATAGAGCCACACCAAGCATTATCACTTCACAAATATTTCATCACAAGTCCAAAATTAATGAATTAATTATTACTTACCTTCAGTTTTAAGAAATGAATTAATTATGCTTTTTTGTTTCAAAAAATTTTACCTCCTAATATAAATCTCTAAAAATTAATGAATCATAACACAAAAAATCTAACATTTGTAATTGGAGTTAATCACAATTTCGGTGTATCAAGTTGTCAATTTTTTCTAATCAAATGTGTCTTCTTTAATTTTTGTTGTTTAAATAATTCAAGTTGTAACTTTTTTCTAGTCAAGTGTGTCTTCTTTAATTTTTATTGTTTAAGTAATTCAAGTTGTAATTTTTTTTCTAATCAAGTGTCTTTGTTAGCTTTTCGTCAATTTTTTCCTTTATATGCAAATGTAGCGCATTAATGAAATCTGTTTTACGTGTGGCAATGTTGTGGCAGCCAAATGTAATACAAGTAGTTGTCACGTGTAAATGATGTGGAAAATTTTAAAAAACAAATAAAACAAAAATCTTGTCACTGCCACTATTTTCTCCGACCAAACCACTATTAGAACCACCCAAGTTGCCCTTCCCCTCTCTTCCTTCAAAACCACTTCAACTCCTCCCTCTCATCGCCAGCCATTTCTCCTTCTCCTTCCTTATCCGTTCATCCAAACAACCCACTAAAAAAAAAGCCTCCTCCTTCAAGCACTCCCCCATCGCCGCCAACCAATTTCTTTTCTTAAGGTGGCTCCCAACTAATAACTAGCAAAATTAATTTCGATTAATAAAATTAATTGTAATTAGCAACACCCATTAATGGATAAAACCCAAATCAATGAAAAAATAATGAAATCAATTGCATATAAATACCATAAATCCTTAGCCAACCAATTTCTTTTCTCAATTTAAATTTAAGAAATCAAAATTCAAATAAACAAACTCAAGCTTAATGAGCTCAAAATACACAGAGCCCATAAAAAACCAAGGAAAATAATCTTTAAGTAAGCAATAAGAAAGAAAAAATAGGAAAAAATGAGATGCCAAGGTGAAAATCGTCGAATTTCAGCCAAAACGACTAGAAGAGAAGAACAAACTCTTTGATTCCACCACCTATGATAACTTTGTTACCACAAATCACGAATCCAAAAAAAATTCCAACTTAACCAAGGACCATTTTCTTTTCAAATGAAACCCCAACTACAACAAAACAAGCAAATCAAACAACAAATCATCATATTGAACCTTAATTATACAACTAACAACGTCACTAGAAAACTTTAGTAGATAGTTTTTAGGTTTCAATCGGATTCATTGAGAGAGCGAGAGAGAGACTCTAGAAAAAAAAATCTTTATTTCAATGTGTTTTTTATATTTTTTAACCCCGACGCGCTTTCTATTTTGTTTTTTATTTTTTTCGTGCTTTTTTTCATTTTCCATGTCGGTTACACTTAGCGACCACATTGCTACCATGTCATTACCTCGGGTAAAGTGGGTCCTATTAACATGTCATGTGTGTATTTAATAGAAAAAATTGAAAAAGAGCTAACAAAGACATTTGTTTAAAAAAACTTACAACTTCGATTACTCAAAAAACAAAAATTAAAGAGAACACACTTAATTAGAAAATATTGACAACTTGGTACACCGAAATTGCGATTAACTCTTTGTAATTGTCACATAAAACCCAAAAGCAAAATTCAATTATAAAATTAAACTCTATCTCTCTCATATTTTTGTTCCGTAACTCTAAAGATTCCATGATTGAACTTGTAACCCTAATTGAGGAAAGATGATCCCGAAGATTTGTGAGTTCTTTCCCATAGAGAAATTTAGAGTTGATTTGAATTTTATTGATGTAGGAGATGACCAAACCCATTGTAATGGATAAGACATACGGGAGATGCTTATTTTGCGGAAGACATTCTTTGGTTATTTAAGCAAAGATTTTGAAGTGAAAATTAAAAAAATAAAAAATAAAAAGAGGCATGTTTCTACCATTAAAAAGGGCTTGAAAGTGGAAGTATATGTGGTAGATATGTTTAAGAGAGAAGAGAATTGAAAACTTCGTTTTTGTTATTTCTTCACCACATCTCTCCATTTTCTATCTTTTTGTCATCCCTTAACCCTTCCACTCCAATCTTTAATGAACTTACAACTAATAAACACATACACACACAAAGATGAACAATTGAAGCCTTATTCTTTTCTTTTTTCTTTTTTTAATTTAATCCCATGGGTAAAAAATAAAAATAAAGAAGAGTCATAAAAATTAAAAGCTAGGTCGAGAGAGGGGTTCTATTTCAAAGAGAAAAATTAAACAAAAATAAGAGATGAAATTAGAGTATTGGGAGTTTCTATAGAAGAAAAAATAGGTTTGTTCTCAAGATGATAGAGGAGAGAGAAAGAAGCATTTTATTTAATATTTTTTCTATTTTTTTAAATTTTATATTTTTAACTAATTTTTTAATTTTTTGCCACTCGGCAAATTAATGTGACGTGACATACTATGTGGATTTTTTTATATCGAGTGTCAAATTCAATCAAAAAATTAGTTGAAAAATAGTATGAGATATCACATTAAGAAAAAAATCAAGAATAAAAAAGGTGATGAATAAAAAAAGGTACAAGATTCATATTAAAAAAAAAATTAGAAGAGTAAAGGGACGTTTTATGCGATTGACTCTCTTTGAGTCTATGTTTATCGGGGCATTGAGAGAGTCTAAAATTGTTTGTGCACTTATTATAATGGAGAAAATTTGAAGGTTAGAGAAAGATTCCTAAATAGGTGAAGCATGTACTTCGACTATATGATGATGTGGTGCCGAATAAGATCATTGAATATTTCCTCTTGTGAGGAACATCTAACATGGTATAGATTATTTTCTAGATTCGATGATTCTTCAAATACTAGCCTAAAAAATAAGTATGAAAGAGCATAAAGAGTTGCAAAGACAAGTGCCCAAACTTATGAACAAGAAGTTAGTGAAAAGAGAGAGTCTATGTGTAGTTCGGCTTTATTGGTTTTGAAAATGGATGGTTCATAGAGAATGTGCTTTCATAGTATGGTCATGAATAGAATTACTATCAAGTATTAGTTTCTAATTCTCGGGCTTGATGATTTACTTGATCAATTTTATGGTTTTTTAATCTTTTCAAAGATTTATTTGAGAAATGGTTATCATTAAATCCGTATGAGGTCGAATGATGAGTAAAAGATAGCTTTTAAAACTCAAGATGGCCTTTATGAATAGATAGTCATGTCATTTGAATTGTCTAATGCATCGAGTACATTCATGAGATTGATGAACTAGTTGTTTTGGTTTTTTATTAGTAAGTTTGTTGTAGTTTTATTTTTTATGATATTTTTATTTATATTCGAAAGCATGATCAACATTTAGATCACTTACGACAAGTTTTGAATGTATTGAGAGAGAAAAAAATTATGCTAACGTTTAAAGGTGTCATGTTTGCACCGAGAAAGTGATCTTCTTAGGGTATGTTGTCTAAAGTAAGAGAATAGAGATGGATGGTGGCAAGATTAAGGTTATTCTTAATTGGTTGAAACCTAAGATAGTGACTACGGTGACAAGTTTTTATGATTTGGTGTCTTTTTATTAAGGATTCATCAAGGTTTTTAGTAATATAATTGCTCCAATTACTAAGTTATTGAAGAAAGATAAGTTTGAGTGGATGCTTGAAACTCAAGAAATTTTTGAAGCATTGAAACATAGAGTGACAGAGGCTCATGTTATATAACTATCTAATTTTTCGAAGGTGTTTAAGGTAGATTGTAATGCCTCCAATGTGAGTATTTGACTCGTTATTAGTCAAGAAGGACATCGTGTGGCTTACTTGAGTGAAAAAATGAATGAAGTTAGGAAGACGTATTCAATTTATGACAAAGATTTGTATGCCATAGTTAGAGTTTTAGACCATCAACGTCATTATTTGTTAGTCAAAGAGTTTGTC